TTACATTCAAAAGGAAATTAAATTAAATTTTACCTATTCCTGATCCATTTATAAATTATTAGACTAACAAGAATATTAAAATTATAAAATAAAATAATTATTGACATCATGCGTTAAACAAGTTCAATATTTTATGGTTTCTATTCTTCTTCAATTTATGAAGTGCTATTTTGGACAATGTCGGAAAAGAACCGTTAGCTGACAGTTGACAGCCAATAACAACATCCTCTATATACTGGCTTTAAGTAATTACTTGACTCAGCACATGAATTATCGCCTATCTTTGTCCAAATCATTGTTTTTTTGGGTTTAGAAACGTTCATCTGTCAACATTTCTTCATGTAATTTTGTCAGTGTCACTGTCAAATGCGTTACGTTCATGTGTTTGGCGCGCCTGTCAATTCGTCCGTCGTCGTACGACGTGGACGAATTGACAGATCTCCAACCAATAGAAACACTTTCGTACCATCGTATCATCGTACAAACGGATGCATGGGACACGGACTTTACGCTCTTGAATCACTTTCGCAAAGGATGAGTGGAAGGCGAGAAAATCTCGATTTTCAGCTGAAATCACTTCGACGTATGATGATGCAACATCAATAAAACTGAGCTGATATGCTTGAATGTTCGCTGCTCTGCCAATCAATGACCGAATCATGGAGGTGTGTCGGGTCAGGTCCGGATTGAAGCCCCAACATGCAATTGAATTCTGACTAATTTCGCTGTTAATTGAGGGTCAATTAATAATTTATGGGCGATTATTTGCGTCAGCCACGTATTTCATTAAGAAATATGCATTCGTGCGAACTTCGGTCAAAATAATGTACAGGGTGGAACAATAAAAGCGGTTGCGTCTGATTTTTGCAGGCCGGAGTTGTGAAGTCCCTTTCATCAGTGGACAGTTTCGAACTTTCCCCATCATCAGGCAATTGTTGACATTTTTTAAAAATTGTGTTTGGTCTACGAGGTTTTTTGCGGCAATTTTGATTCTTCGGTTATGACCGGGAAACTGTCAAGAATTTTTCAAAATCTGCGCGGTTTTTTAAGCAGGTCTGCAACTTTTCTAGGGGGCAAAATCTGCTCTATTCGCAGAAGAGGTTTCGATTTTGACTCATCCTCAGGAAATTTTGCGCTTGTCTGACAGTTATTTCCATTTTACATCTTCAACAAATTGGCTTTTCGTCGAAAAGTACGTCAATTTCGAGTAATTTTCATCAACTAAGTGAGGAATTTTCCGCTTTGTTTTTGCAAGCCGAACGAGTCCGGTTCCAGTGACGGTACGACATCCGTAAGAAAAATCGCATTCATCTGTTGAATAATTGATGGCACATAGACGAACAGGTGGTTACCATTGCTTTACATCAGATGCAATTTACAAGTGGCATTTCACGTTGTCAATCCGAATCGATTAGTGTGATGTGCATTTGAAATCGATAGTTGCCATGAAACTAAAACGAAAATCCTGCTCCCAGTGTTCCCATTTTTTTGCTTTTGAAATTTAGAAAATAAAAGCTTCATTGCGCTGTTGTCAATTTGCAGCTTCAGTTTTCTCTGCATAAAACAGTAAAGCACGTTCCGGATCGTGAGACAATTTGCGGGTTTGCACAGTTAAGGTTTCGCTACTGAACGAGCCAATTAGCAGCTTTCCAACTTTGCCACATTTGCCCTGAGAAACGTTTAAAAAGTATGCGCTTCTGTCAGTTTTTCGAATCGAACTTATCACTTTCATCAGTCAATTCTCTATTGGCATCACTTTTTCGCCTAATGGGAATCGAAATATTTTTCTTTCTTTCATTGGAGGGCTTTAAGTATAGTCTGTTCCAATGTTTCTGGGCAGTGATGCATCATGAATGACGAAAAACGTCGAAAATCCAGTAGTCTTACCGACATGTGACAGCTAGACATTCGACAACTACAACAGCACTTTGAAAAATGCAGTTGTCAACTGTCACTCGCAAGAAAGTCAGAATAAAAGTACTCAAAACGTGCGCACTCTATCGGGGCCAGTAGCACTAAACAAAGGTCAAAGCTGTAATTTTCATCAAACTCGTTTTTTTTGACACATTTTGTCACTTTTGACAAGGGAAACGATTTCTTTGCAGATGAGTCAGCGATCGTCGCAGCTGGAGCAGCGCGGACGCGGCACACGGCGGGCGGCAGTCTGGTGCCTGGCCATCGCGCTGGTAGTGCAAAGCGCACGCGCCGGAAGTCCCTGGCGACGTGGTTCCGGCCCCCTCCTCACCCACCACCTGTCAAAACGGTCATTCTTTGACATCCAGTGCAAGGGTGTCTATGATAAAACCATTTTCGCCAAGCTGGATCGAATCTGCGAAGACTGTTACAATCTGTTCCGGGAGCCGCAGGTCCATTCGCTCTGCATGTGAGTATTACAGGCACATATAAGCTAACCTCCAAAAACTGATCGCGCTGCAAATTAATTGAGCGTCTATAGTTTCAATTTGTTGCATAGAATGTCGGACGAACCAAATTCTCGCAGATTTATGCACAATCAACATCAACCAGAAAATGCCACGGCACATTTTTTTATTTTTTAATGGCGAAAGGAAGTGTGATACCTAAAAATAACCTAAGCAATTATTAATACGTGCGAACTTGAACACCTGATCTGTTTTGAGTCATTAGAGCCCATGATATCATAGCTGTGGCGGTTTGAATACATAGTAGTGCTTTGAATGTCAACAGTCAGCAAACAGTTTTCTCATGAATGATTTCAAGAAATAAATGTCATAGATGACGTTGACATTAGACTAGACGGAAGTAGTGGCGCAGTGTCAAAGTGGCGCTGACATCGTTCACCTAGATGGGAGAATGACAGGGCACAACTTCTGCATCAAATGCCCCAACTCTCAAAGTAAAAGAAGCGCTCTTTAACTGACTTCAGTGTTATTCTCAAACAGTGTCAAATCAATCAAATCCTGTTTAAATTTCCCAACTTTTGAATGAAATTCAACACTTAAGCGTTAAAGTTGTTCCGAACTGTTCAGGTACGACACTGACATTGAATGCAACGCAACTTCAATTCCTCAAATTGTATGTAATTTTGCAACTTTTGCAAATTTTGCCATTGACATCAGCACATGTAAAACATTTCTTTTCGAAAACTGTCACTGTCACATTGCAAACGTCACCTTATAAACCATCAAAAGACAAGTTTGGCAGCTTAAAACGTGACAAATTGCAAATATTCTTTGACATTCAGCGAAAACATGACAGTCAACAAATAACTGTCAGAGTGTCGACATATCCTAACCAAACTTTTTTTTATGTGTAATTATCCATCAATCCGGTTCTCTTACAGGAAAAACTGTTTTACCACAGCCTATTTCAAAGGGTGTCTTGAGACGTTACAGCTGACCGACGAAATGGAGCAGGTGAAGGACTGGATTAAACAGATACACGGGGCCCCGCCCGACGAATAGGTACACATGTAACAACGCACGCCACTGTCCTTTGTCTAACCCAAAACTAACATGTGTGTCCAGTCTTCATTGCGCTAACAACAACGTCTAACCTAAACATTTTCAGGCGCGAATTCAAATATTTTACTACACCCTGTATATTTAAGAGCGCGACTCACACTCGCACCGAACAATCTTCTGCTTCAATGTCTACAAGCACCGATTGCGCCTAAACCGAAAGACATGGTCGAATTTATTGTCATCAATGTCTACATCAACAGTCAGCTGTCAAACTGAGAGAGATAGAAGCATGCGAGTTTCGTCCTTGTGCCATCATCAGGCTGGGAGTGGCCAATTTGCAAACTTCAGAAGCGATGGTAATCAACTCGCTCCTACTGGCTTGATAAGAGTCAATTGCCACTAAACCGAGAGAGATGGAAGGATGGGGTATTTTGTGTTGGAAAGAACGGGCTGTTGTCGATGGGTGTTGAAAGTTTCGTCCTTCTGTCATCGTCCGGATGGCAGTGGCATTAAACTACACAATAAGGGGTGCTAAGAGTGATTCGCTCTTACTGTCATCAATGTCTACATCAACAGTCAGCTGTCAAACTGAGAGAGGTAGAAGCATGGGAGTTCGTGTGATGAAAAGATCGGGGTATTGTGGATGGGCGTTGAAAGTTTCGTCCTTGTGCCATCATCAGGCTGGGAGTGGCAAATTTGCAAACTTCAGAAGCGATAGAAAGAGTAACTCGCTCCTACTAGCTTGATAAGAGTCAATTGCCACTAAACCGAGAGAGATGGAAGGATGGGGTATTTTGTGTTGCAAAGTACAGGCTGTTGTCGATGGGTGTTAAAAGTTTCGTCCTTCTGCCATCATCAGGCTGGCAGTGGCATTAAATTTCACAATAAGGGGTGCTAAGAGTGATTCGCTCTTACTGTCATCAATGTTTACATCAACAGTCAGTTGTCAAACTGAGAGAGATAGGAGCATGGGAGTGCGTGTGATGAAAAGATCGGGGTCTTGGGATAGGTGTTGAAAGTTTCGTCCTTCTGCTATCATCAGGCTGGCTGTGGCTAATTGTTTGCGTTCTTCAAGGAATTTCTATTAATCGTGCAAATTCCATTTTATTCGCTCTCTTTTCACTACTTTTTCACAAATTTTCAAGAATTTTACTGAAAACTCGCTTTTTTCTTTGGGCCTACCGGATTTCGTTGAATAATTCAGTCCTGGGGAACCAATTATCTAAGAGCGCTGTTTCTTCTGGCATTTTATAGACAAAAGTGCTCTCTAGTAATCGTGAAGGCTTGTTTTTGGGTAATTTTTGACGAATTTTCAAAAGTCCTGCCAAAACTGTTTCACAATTTTTTCCGTCTCATTGTAAACTTGCTTCTCTGCTCAACTCAACATTTTTGGTTGGGTTTTTGGATTCTGCACAGTAAAAGTAGATACACGAATGGTCGCAAGCAACAAAACTGAACAGCCCTTAATTCTACTCAACCCCAAAATCTACGCTACGGAAGGAAGCACAGTCGAGTGAAGTGATGAGTTGAGCCACCCTGTATATTAAACCGAGCGCTTGTGTGTATATGTTAACCGTTGAAAAACGCGAATATTTTCACAACTCTTATGCGGAAAAAGTCGCCTTGTGTCCGTCTTGCTTGGCTGTTTAACCATTACGAATCGTGCTGTCTAACGTACTAATAATCAGCTAGTATTGAGCGGATTGCTGATATTTGTGTGATTTTCTAGGTCCAAATGCTTCACAACTGAATATTTCACCGGTTGTGTCGAGTCCCTACTTAAGTCCGATGAAATGCCGAGCTACCGGAAAATGATTGAGTATCTGGCGAAGTAACCAACCAACCAATCAACCAACCAATCCAACGTGGAGCCTAAACCCTTGTGTCCTATTATTCTAGTCCAAAAATCACCATTAGGCAATTAATGTATTAATGTAGGATAAGTGTTTTGACAGAATTCTGTGCATCCCTTCCCTTGACTCTGTTCGGTTTAATTAATTATTTATTTATTTATTTATACATAAGCACATTCGCAAAATCTCTGTCTCAGAGAGGTTGATTTTCATTCTCAAAATACTGCATTTTGTTAAAACCAACACGCAGCATCACGTCATTTCTAGCAAAAGTATTGCGTTCTACATACATACATACATATTTATATATATAAATATCAGTTTCCTTATTTATTATTACATTCGATTAGCTGTTGAACTGCCTACCAGGGCTGGACGGGAGGTAGTTCAACAATTAAGGACCATTTTCATCGTACAACTGATAAATTTAAGGATAAATTATTTATTGTACTGTTGAGATTATTTTATTATCTAGGAGTTTAATTTAAGCGAAGCATTGCAAAAACCATTCCATACGAACCAACTCTGCTAGTTTTATCGTCAGTACGCAGTGTTTTTTGCAAGCGCCGAAACTTTTTCTTTTTAAATAGACATTCCGTTATCAGTATTGTACAGAGGTTGTCACATGGAACCAAACAAGAATCGGTGCCTGGTCGTTGCTGCCAATGGCAGACCCCCTAAGTGTGTTGATTTCATTCTTGTATTATCATACTTACAGCATACGTAATCGAAATTATTGCAAAATGCAACAATAAAGCATCAATTAAAGACGAAATATATGGCAATTTTACTCGAAACCACCTTACACATGTTCAGGTATTTTCGGTGAAAATTATAAAATACATTTTATTGGATCACGGCTGCTGAACAGCTTTGTAATTTTTTTTTGGAACCTTTTAGACAAAACCCTAATACATTTTTCTAGATTTTTTCCAAAAATATTTGCCGAACAGAACAAGCGAAAGTTTATAATCAGTTATTCCGAAAACTCGTCACTTTTGTCGCAGTGAATAATTTCGTTTATTTAAATTCCGGTTTCTTCACTTTTAGGTCAATATTTTTAAACAAAACTCTCTTTAAACAGAACAACGCGTTTTTGGTGTTTTTGTGTAACTGCAAAATACTTGGCAAACTCAGACTCTTTTATGCAAAAAAGTTAAAAGATGGATTTTACAAGAAAAGTCTTCGTCTTACAGTTTGGTCTTCTTTATAGTCTTTTTCGAATACCCGTTTTACGTTTGAGTTAGGGACAAAATCGAAACAAAGTTATCTTGGTTTTTTTTCGATCAAATAGTTTCAAGCAATCGTACGCACAAAAGCAATTTTGTTGATATGTTGATAGCTTTTTTTATAATTGGCTTATAACTAGTTGTAAGGCTTTAACCTTAGCTGCAGTCAATAATTGCTTCACTTTCTGATTTTAAGTAAATCCAACTCCAATTTAATTATTGAATTTATTAACAATTCTACACCAGATACCAAATTTTCTACACACTCTCTCGTTTCGTTTTTTACGACAACAACTCGTCTCCTTTGCGCCACCTACATCCAAAAACTGTCCCTGATGCGGTGTTGCCGCATTGACTCCATTTTCTTATAATTACTAACACTAGTGATGGGAACTATCGAATAAAAACCATCAAACTATTCGATAGTTGGAATTTATTCGAATTATTCGATAGCGATGTTTCATTCAATGACAAAAATTATCGACTTCAAATTCAACGAATTCAAATTTTAAATGAACTAATTTTCCACTTTTTAAGCAAAGATATTCAATACTCATTTATTAATACTGTTTTTTTTTTCAAAAATTAATTGATTAAAAAAGTGCTATATCTACATTTGCATTTTGAATAAGCACCTACTATTAGCAACAGGCTTAAATACAACTCATTTGTAGAGTTTTTACTATACTATTTCAAGAAAAGTAGGAGGTAACATAAATATGAAGAGTTTACAACAGAAAAGAAAAATGCATTCATAAAACAAAAATTAAATTAATAATTAATGTTTAATTTCGATAAAATGAAAATATCTATATTTAAAAATCAAACTTTGCAATATTACTATTAAAAATATGATCTTATCTAGATCTTTCGAAGACTATAAATTTGTAATTTGTATCTTTTATACACGGCACTAGATGGCGCGCACTATTCAATGAATGAATTCAATCGACAGTTGCCATCATTCATTTAGTAATTATTCGATAGTGCCCATCACTAGTTAAAACTGAGTTAAAACTGAAAAATTCTTAAAAAGTTCCTGCAATTGCCCTGTGAAATTTATTCAAGCGTTCAAACTTGCATGTTCCCGAGTAAATAATATTGAAACTTTGACCTGCTTCAATAGCCGCGAAAACCGCAGGCAACTTTGAAAAATTCTTGAAAATTGCCTGATGATAACTGAAAATCAAAACGTTTTCCACTTATAGAGCAGATGTTGCCCGGCAAAATACATAAAAAAGCGAGTCCCTCACTTCGTTACTACCCGAATAAAAAATCGAAATTGCGGCCTGCAAAAACCACCTCACAAACTAAACGCAATTTTCTCAATAATTACCTGGCCATGAATGAAACTTTTACACAAGCTAAAGAAAAAATACAAGCCAAACTCCGGCCTGCAAAGACACACACAGTGGAAAAATCAAGTGTAGTTTAGCACACAAGGAAATTATGCTACATTAACTATTATTCTGATAAAAGGATTCTTCATACGCCAAGAAAGAAAGTATCAATATATTGGGGCGTTAGGGTTTGGGACCGCAGTAATGTTTAAATTAAAACAGTTTTATGACAAAATAGTCAAAACATTGCACCACCGTACTCTATTTTGACCCATTGTACATACAATCATTACATTTAACTGGACACTGGCAAAGTCGTGAATAAATACGATAAAATACGCCTTAGTAGGCCCAAATCTAGCATTTGTGAAGAGAGGCGAATTGTAAGTTAAATGGAGAAAAAGCTTGAACTTACCAATCTAACTGGTTCTGACCCTTCAGCACAATTTCCGCCGCTTTCTTCTCAAAACGTCCACATAAAACCGTTAATGCGTTTTTCGCTTATATCAAGCCTAGTTTGATAAAATAATAGCAAACAACTCAGGCAAAAGTGGACATTTCTTGACAAAATTGAAACGGCAGCAGCAACTGGACATCAAACGTATCGCTGGCATCAACAAATTGTTAACAATTAACCGTCCAACGCTCTCAAACCCTTACCAATTCCCTGTGAACGTTTGCCTGATCTTTCAGCTTTTGGAAAACGGTCTTTTCAAGCATCAGAGTCTTGGCGGCTTGCTTGAACTTGTCCTCATTGCGTCTTAAGTACATCAGGGTGTCCCGCCTCATCTGCGTGTGTTTCTCCTGGTCCGTTTCCACCATTCCTACCAGTTCAGTCAAGTAGGGGTTGAAGCGGAAATAAACCTCTTGAGGAAGAAGATCGCTCAACATTATATGAACAGCTGGAAAGGCACAGCATTGATCGCGGTGAGTCTCGTGTGGCAAGAAGCTACCTTGAGTATCTGTAGCACTGTCCAGAATCTTCAAGAACTTGTTGGTCCAAGAAGTGCCTTCGCTACCAGCTTTCGGGCTTCCAGGTGAACACTTTCGGCCAGAGGGACTGGGTACCGATCGGCCAGTACCAAAAGAAACCACGCACTGGATCGGGGTGTCGGGCCACAACAATTTCGCCTCGTGTAGAGCGATTGCTGTTGGATTGTTGGCCACGATTCCACCGTCCTAAAGTCGAAAATCCTATTGGAAAGAGCTCAGTTCTCAGTTTTGGTCTGGTTGTTTTTTAGACTTAAGTTGAAACTTGCTTGCAACCGACTGATTCTTCAAGTTCTATATCGAATGTACCTTCCTACTAGTGGAGTGTCATTGTTTTAAAGATCAGTGGCAAAACATTATGGTTGGCACAGGTTGCTTTCACCTGATGGATCAAGTCCCTGATCCTGAACTCCTCAAAGTAGGTGGGAGCGGCAGCTGAAGCTCGCACAGCCTCCCATATCTGCGCAGTGTGCGTGCCCTCGTACTCCGACTGGAACCTCCACGGAAGGGAGTAGTTGCGGAAAACGTAGGGGGATACTTGAGCCTGATTAACCACAGCCGATACGACGCAAATCTGCAATGAGAATCCTGCACTCAGCAGCTCCGCTCTGACGGTGGAGCGCATACTTTCGGACAGTGGGAGTCTCTGGATGTAGCTATGAGACTACTGCTGCCCACATAGTCCTTCAGCTTTTCCTCCCACAGCGCTGTGTCGTAGTAGGCGTGCCTCCAGACCAGTTTTCCCGTTCCCATGATGCGGGATTGGTTGAAAATTTCCTGACACAAGGCTTCGTATCGTGCCATTATCTCATCCAAGCTTCTTAAATGGACGCCTGAGGAAAAACACATTCGGTCATTTTTTCGAACCGTCGAGAATTTTGCAGCCGAATGCTGAAATTACGCAAATTACCAATTGAGTAGCTCAGGACTGCCCCAGTGCTCACTCCGCAGAAAAAGTCGAACATCTCATGTGGTTTTTTTCCCGTCAATTCCTCCAGTTTCTTCAGCATTTCCAGAACAAGAACACCTCGAATGCCCCCGCCGTCAATGGAAAGAATTCGTATTCCTCGTCCTGCCACTGGGTCTGGATGTCCCAAGAGGGCAAGAGCTTCTCTTAAGGCCCCCTTCGCACTTTCTGAGTCAGCTTTTCGCCGGGCGTTCAACAATATTCTCACTGCCCCAGTCTGGAAGCAAGTATGTAGAATGATTCTGTGTGCAGGGGCGGATCCAGCTTTAAATTCAGGGGGGGGGGGGTTATGTAGAAAAATACAGTCTTCTGTTGTCTATGAAATTAGAAAAATTATCGTCGTTTTGTGCAAGGATGGCGTAAGATTATTGCAAAATTTCATGTTTTCCGTCACGTTTTTGCTAATTTCTCGAAGGCAAAATGAGCAAGAACGCTCATTTGTACACCATTCTAGGCAGAAATAAATGGCCTTTTTAGAACCATTGATAAGGAAATGTTGGCAGTTTTTTCAAAAAATGCTTGAATTCAAGAAGTTTTGGATTTGCGTGGTTTTTTTTCAGTTGCAAAATCCACTTGAACATGACGCTGCTTTTTTCGAAGTTTCTCAAGAACCGTTCGAGCCAGAGGATTCGTTTTGGCATCGTTGGATAGAGAATTGAATAGGGGGGTCATAACCTCCATGACCCCCCCCCCCTGGATCCGCCCTTGTTCTATGGTATCATCGTGTGAAGCTTTGTGCCGTTTTAGCGCGCTCTTAACATTCCCGATACAAGCAGGTTCTTGAAAGAAAGATTCCAACTACCTTGATGGCATTGCTGCGAACTTCTGGATGTTGTTTCAGACAGGAAATCAGCGACTCCACACCCAATAAAAGCAGTTCTTCGCCTGGGGCTTTTTGAATGGTATCCAGGATGTGGGCTGCGCTGGAATTCTCCAGCGAATGCTGGGGGAGAACAAGGAATGGATAAAAGCTCCGGAAACTCAAACTCAAAGACTCACTTGCGTGCGCGAGATTCTTCTGATCTTCTTCCATGAAACAGTTTCATCTGTTCCCGGAGTTGTTCTGTCTCCACCCTTAAACTTGGGAGTCGCTGTTACAGCCGAGTTATAGAACTGCTGCACTGATAGCTGCACGGACACCAATCGCTTCTCAGTTGATCTGAGATATTCGCCTATGTCCTGGGACTGGGGTATTCTGCTTAGGAGCTGGACAATGTCCCAAGTATGCAGCTGCTTGTCCCCTACTAGCTTGGAAAGCGTCTCTTTCAGGTGAGTGAGGAATTTCCATGAATTGAACGGCATCGTCAGTACTGTGCGATTGTCTTCACTGACCAGAGAATAAAAACGTAGGGCTCTTAACCGTCAGCGGTGCATTTTGCGCAACTTTGCAATCGACACTGGAAGAAAATGAAATATTGTTAGAGGCATATCGATTGGTCAGCAGCCAGTTAAAATAATCTTGAATGAAACCTACTTGTTTCTACTTTCCAGGGAAAAGCTGTTAAAACGTGTGAAATTCTCTCCGGTTTACCGGAATTAATATTCCATTTCATCTGAGTGCAACGATCGTTTTTAGCCATTTATCGTGCTAATCAAATTACTGAAGAAAACATACGCTGGCTTAAAATTTTAATTATATAAAAGTATTGGTTCAAAAGTTTTGCAGACATTTGGGTAATCTTCCAAGATCCAGTCTGCTCTGGAACGCGCACATCCCGTACGCACGACACGCGCAGCCGGAAATGGCATACTGGTCAGCCATGTTGCCGAACTGCCACCAAAGTAGAAAATCCCAATGAAAACAAAAAAGTAATTCATTCAAGGTTCAAAACTTTGTGGAGGTTTGAAATATCAAATTAATTAGGTATGCACGCAAAGAAAATAAAATAATCGGCTATTTTCTCAATAAAGTATTTTCAGCTTCGGTTTCTCTATGGATGTCTATGAACGCGTTTGAGATCTTAATGGGTTAATTGAAATTATGATGAGAATCGGAAAAGTAGTGAAAATCTATGATCTGGGTATTACTAATTATTATCTATTTTATTTCAAATGATTTATGTACATGAAAACGTTAAGGAAGTGGTAATGTTAAGAAAGTGCTAACATAGTACTGGCAACTACGCGAAAAATTTCGACCGGCGCAAAGAGCTGAATCGTCATGGCAACCGTTGTTTTGTTGTGGAAATTGGTGAATTTCAGAGGGTGAAAAGTCCTGGAAAACGGCATTAGGTCGAAAAATGTTGTTTGTTACGAGATCTTCTATAAGGTAAGCATAGTCTTAATCGGTAAAGCGGCAATCGAAGTACCAGATTGTATTGTAAAGTATTACCGACATTTGCATTTACTATACGCCTAAATGAACCGAAAAATCCAATACTCGCATTGCACCACTCACCGTATCGCATTTATTAACAATAACTGCATTATAATTACAATATGAATTACAATTTGTTGTTATTATGACAAGTGACAAGTCACTGGTCATGTAATGACAGCTGAACGAAGAAGTTATGTTCAGGCTTGCCAGGTCTACCGTTTTTACGGTAGCTCAACTCAAAAATTGATACTATTTCCACCCAAGCAGGGGACAATAGTGAACTTTCCAACGTCGAAAGGTCGTTGAAAAGGACATTTTCGGAAAAAAATTCCCTAAAAAGTGTTATTAACGGAACGAAAATCTACAGCGGAGGTCACTTTTTATTATCTAAATCCAGAGAGCTCAAAACCAGATAACTACTTTTTTTACGCGAATTAAAGGCAGTTAAACGGCTCTTATACGGCATTAGAGAGTTTTTAGGCCCCTTAAAATTGCGTTGGCCTTAAACGCTAAACGTTATTGTGATCGTGTGCAGTGTTAAAAAATAAGGTGTTCAGGCAAATAACGTTAAGTGCGTTTTTTAGTTTTTGATACCGCGTTTGTTGCATTCTTAATAAAATAAACCTCACTTTATTGTTTTCTTATCCTGTTTTGTTTGGAAAAGTTTCAAAGCTAGTTTAAGTTTGTATTGATATTAAACAAAAAGAAGGGTTAGAAGTTAGAACCTGTGCTTGCCATGTTAGTAGTGTTGCCAAAGTTCAAATTTGCCCAAACAATTTTCACATAAAATCCGTAATTACGCAATAATGGCGTAATCTAATCAATGAAATAGTCTTATTTAAATTTACAAAGATTTCTTATTCTATTATAGCCGCTTATTTTATTAATAATATTAGAAATAAGTCAAATATGTCAACACCGTCGTTCTGCTTTTTAACGTTACCGCTACTCGTACGCAAATAAAGGAACACGTTATCCTCTAATAACGTAAACGGTTATTTCTTTACTAATGCACATGCTCAGAATAACGGATAACGTAAAACGTGTTGCAATTAAGGGGCCTAAAAACTCCCCTATTATAAATAAGAACATTTCGAATTTTGTCTGTGGAATGTTTGATAACATGTGGTTAAGATAATAGTGAAGACAGAGACAATGAAGTGAGTAGTCTGGGGACCGATGGGGGCGCTGGCAGTTGTAAACAAATATGGAGGCAATTAGGTAACCTCGCGAATAGAGCAGTAAGTATACAGATTTTGTGTCTCGAATTTCCAACGCTAAAATATTATCTTTAAGGTTGAACACATTGTTAGCGGCAAGAATTAATTATTTGTAAAATTTATCCGATAACTCTGCCAAAAGAACCCGAGCCTGAGCAATGATCGTCGTTAGTAAATAGACTTGATGGTCATAAACCTGATAAACCCGAAAATAAATCGGGTTTCGTTTGCTCAAAGTGAATAAATTAATCAAATGCGATAAGCAAACCTTCATACGGTTATTGGGTTTTAAGCTTGTAAGTCGCCTTATACTTTCTCTGTTGTAAAAACAGTAATTGAATGCTCTTTCATGTCTTATTATCTATATTACAGGATAAATTCTGTTCATACGCCATCATATTGGTCGTAAACAGGCCTGGGTAACACTGAGTTGGTGCCGCTTTCTGAGCCGCCTTAAAATAAATAAATCTAAAAACAACTGCGCCGGTGCGTTGGGTTGGCGCACCAAGCCATTTGCGCAGCACTGCGCCAACTCCTAAAAATTCAGTGAGTCACCCAGGCCTAGTCACAATATATCTGCCCTAATGTGAACACGGTTGCGTCTACTTTACATATGTGATTTATTTTACTAATATAATACAATTTTCATATATTATAAGTACTATCGTTTTGGCACATAAATTCCAACACTGGAAATCTCCGTTATACTTAAATCACACCCGTTTCGCAATAAATAAATAAATAATCCAGTCAGCTTCAATACGATTAGACATAAGTATTGTTTGGAGCACTTGGACCGCTGCCATTTGTCTCTGTTTGGTCACAGTTGTTGTTGCAACATTGATGGGAATTATTCTCGTCCTTCGGTAGCAAGGGACATGGTTTTCCAATGGGAAAATCTTCTCTTATCGCACACTGTTGAGTTTTAGTCTTGCAAAAACCACACCTATTTCCGCTTTCTATTAGCGATTTACCCCAAACTGGATACTGTTAACTTACTTGGAAACAATCCCGTATATATCTCTTCTATACTGTAGGGTCATCAGTGCGTACAGGTATGGATTCGCGCAAGCATTCAAAGGATAAAAGAAAACCAGTAATATTTTCGATTTTGTTATGTTGATCAGTGGGTATCCCAGCAGAGCGCACAGCCCGAAGAAGGCCACCGGCGCATAAGTGGCAAAATCTGAAAATTCGTCAAGATAAATCGTTAAAAGAAAACAAATCAGACCGTTGGGGTCTGGGGATCTTTCTTCAACCTATGAAAATGAGCAGAGCCATTTTCTTCGCGATGGTCAACTCGCCCTTATGACTGGTTCTTCGCGTTTCATAGCCCAAGCTGAAGTAAATCTGAGCGTAGCAGAATACGATCAGCGCCAGCGAGAAACCATTGATCATGAATATGCTGTAGAGGTAAATCTTATCGAAAGTTGACTTCACTTCCATCGGCAAGCATATGCTGGAAGCGAAATGCGAAACTGTACAGTGGACAGAGTTTAAAACAGTCTCACCTTGTGCTGCTGTAGTTACTAATACCAAACAACGGGAACATTGCCATCAGAATGGAGTAAATCCATCCTCCAATCATGATTCGAACCGCAGTCGGCAGTCTAATTCGCTTCGTGAGGTCAATTGCGTACTTGATTGCAAACCATCTTTCAATGGTCACAATCGTTAATGTGAAAATGGAAAGATGTCCTGCGAATACGGTGAGAAAACCTGCAATCTGGCATCCAATTCCTGCGGGAGATCACCAGCTTAAAAATTCTGTGAAGTTCGTACTGGAAGCCTTACCATACTGCCAATCATAGGCAAAATTAAAGTACGTTCCAACGGAGTGATAGTCCATGGACGCAATTAACATGAGGTAGAGTCCCATGCAGAGATCGGCCAGAGCCAAATTGCAAATCAGGAACCTCGACACGTTTACCTAAAAAAGAGCAACCAATTTCCAATTATTGCCTTCCAATTGCACTCGGCGATTTACTTCAGTGTTGCTAAACCAAATAACAACCACTACAGCCACATTGCCAACAACAGCCAAAATGACTACGAACCATACAGAATTCCTCAGCCAAATAAACCCCATAATGTCTTCGCATGGATTCAAGGCGTTTGGATCTGGGGTGCATTGAACACTTTGCAACCTGATGGCGAGGAGAAAGTGCATGTTTAAATGTGTTCATTTTTGTCCGGCTGACTCACTTGAAGCTGATATTCCCACAAAACACCTCGATCGACGTGTCATTGATCAATGTGGGACTGGAATGGAACGTGCCCATGTCTTCATATGCGTCCTCAGGATCTCTGGGTTTCTGATGGTCGATAAAGTGTCCAATCAGGGGCTTCTGAGCCTGCTGGGTCACCCCAAACTGGGGCACTAGATACCCTAAAGCTTGCTCGGTTAGATGATCGTTCGGGAACTTTTGCGGCCTGCTTTAAAACGTCATCATTATAAACATATGTAGTTCAAGACAAGTACGCAGTACGCAGCGCGTGCATATAATAGTGTGTAGTCTGTGGGACGTTCGTGTGTAGACAGCGTGATCGGGAAATGGGTTAGGAAATTTTTGAGGGTGATTCTACATGCTAAAATAATGGTAGACAGTCGTGAAACAAAAATTTGAAATCTGAATATTTTTCGAGTTACAGCTCAGCAAACTATGTTTTTTCATTTTTTTGACCTATTCTGAACATTTTTGATCAAATTGAAAATCGGTGCACAGTTTTACCGTAGTTACCTATAACTTTCTGATAAAAGATTGTTTTTTCACGTTGCCACTGGATGGCACTTTACCTGAAATCCAAATTTAATTTTTCGCATATCTTTTTTAGCACGCCAAATATCGCCAAAAGTAGTATGCCATTTTAAAGGTTGCAAAATTCTAGACAAAACATGTGCCCTTTACACGATTCGAAAAACCTCTTCGTTTTGGAGCAAATCGGCAATAAAGTTTTTATTACTTCAACCCAGTAGCCTGGCACGTCGTCTTGTTATAAAATGTGCCAAATTTGACAATTTTGTAGTAATTATTGTATTGCTCTTCAGTTGAGACTACATTTTTGTACTCTAAAACCACTTAATTAAAATAAATGGAGAATATTCAAATGTTGCATACATATGCAAACTGTCAAATTTGGCACATTTTAAAAACAGACGACTTGATTTGCTGCGATTGCAATTAAATTCAAGGACACTGGGTTGAGACTGGATAAAAACTTTGATGTCGAGTTGCTTCTAAACGAAGAGGTTTTTCCACTCATGTGAAGAGTACATTTTTGTCTGGTGTTTTCTAGCCTTTAAAATCCCATATTAATTTTTGCGATATTTGGCGTGTCAAAAAAGATATGCCGAAAATGAAATTTAGATTTCAGGTAAAGTGCCATCTAGTGGCAAAGTGGAAAAACAATTTTTGATCACAAAGTTAGACATCACTGTGATAAAACTGTGTACCGATTTTCAATTTGATCCCCGAAGAAATATTCAGAACAGATCCAAAAAATAAAAAAAATTGTTTGATGCGCTTTAACTCGAAAAATAGTAAGATTTTAAATTTTTGATGTACCACTTACTATCATTATTTTACCATGTAGAATCACCCTGAAAATTTTCATAACACATTTTCCCAACTCGTTTATAGTAGTGTGTAGTCTGTGGGCCAGTGTTTTTTGCGACGACTGCTTGCGACAGAAAACGTGCGAAAAGGAGATAATGATGCAATTTAGTTGTTCAGATCCGCAATCAGTCGTGCAAATTTGCACGAACCATTGTGGTTTTTTCTCTCATCGTTTAACGAGTTTTTTGCCCAAGTTTGCACTGTTTTTGCATTAGATGGTTCAGGGGGTCATTTTTTCGAAAACCAAACCTGCAGCCATCTTTACGTGTAAATTTCAGCATAAAATTGAGCATATTTCTTGCTTTATCCTAGCTTTTCACTACACTTTGCAAGAAGTTATTTCTTGGGAACTCAATGATATTTCAGCTTCCGGCGTTTAGTAGCCTTTTAGAGGAGGCTCGACGTTAATAATTTTGGAAATTGAGGCGGAATCAACTTAACACTTTTTCCGAATCTAGTGAGGCACTACACGTTTTTTGCCGCGTTTTTACACTACAATTTTGAAAAGTTGGCGCACCAAGACTTTTGCGTAGCACTGCGCCAACTCCTCAAAATGAATTGAATTGCCCAGGCCTACATGGGACACTTTATGTCAGTCAGGTTGTCTGTAGGTATATAAAAATAGAAAATTGATTTTGACTTACTACGTGTTAGCATACTCCACAGCTCTTTTTCGCTTCTTAAAATCAGTCGTTTGAAAAGACATCTGGCTTTTGATGCACACTTGCCGCATACTTTCTTCATAAGCGGCATGCTTAATTGGAGAGTGCTGTTTTGGATACTGAAATGCACAGCAGTGGAAATGGTGCGTGAGTTTCGCCAACTTCAAGCTCTAGAATCAAAACGGAAAAGTGCCAAATTGAACCCCGATTCAGATCAGTTGGATGAACTCTTACTGGCAAGTCGTACAGGCTGGGAATAGTGTGAAGTGTCGGGGTGTTTCGTATCTTGAGTACTTCCAAAGACTCCAGCCCGAGATAGGAGAGTGTTTTTATGGATGAGAACGATAAATCTCTGAAACCGACAATTCCCGTGGTCATTCAAAGGGAAGTATAATATGATGATAATGACATGGTACTCACAACTCCCTCAAGTTGAGCAACCCTTTGAAAGCAAACTCTTCCAGTTGCGTTAGTTTCGGGTTGGCGGTGATGTGCCTGGAAATCGATTGCGTATTACGGTTTTCACATTCTCTTGGTTTCCCGTTAACGATCAACAGTTGAAACATTTGTTAACAAATCCAAAGTAATGATTAGTGGAGGATGAGAAGTAACTACGAGTTGAGCTCTACAATCTTAAAAATTCCTACTTACAGCAGTCCAATTTGCGATCCATTAAAGGCGTAGTTTTCTATTGTGGTGATTTCATTGAAGTTTAATGTTCTGAAAAAAGTGAAGTAAATTACGCGCTTTACTGCTAAGTACAAATAGTCACATTTTCGACACTCATTTCTACGTAATTGGCAGTGCTATTAGAAGTGTTGTAGATCAATTTTTGCTCGCAAAAGATATTTTTTTGGGTACAGGGATTTTCGAAGCTATAGCAGTTACAAAAAATCTGGAGGCGTTAAATCCGGTGATTGTGATGGCCACCTTATAGGTCCTAGTAGGTACTAGTATCTAGACTAGTACAGGGATCTTCGGAACTATAGCAGTTACGAAGAAGGTCGAATGGGCAAAGTGTTGTGTGTTTTTCTAAAATTTGACAGCTGTCAAGAGATATTTGGGAAAAACCTATTAATGGTAAATTCTTGAATTACTCCTAGTTCCGTTGATATTAATTTGACAGGAAAACATTAAATAGAAAACTTGTAGGAAATTGAATTCTAAACAAAATGGCATAAGACATTTCTCCAAAATAACTAATTTTTGACATATGACACAAATTTGAGTTTCTTTAAATGGCTTGATTATTGCTTTGCGGAATAGAGCATTTTATTACGATTTCTGCGATATATCACATCGTTAGGATTTTTTCGAAAATAAAGTGCCTGCGAACAATTTATACTTATTCAATTTAGTTGATCTAAGTCAGTCATTGAAAATAGCATAAGATATAGCATTGTTTCCATGGCAACAAATAATAACATCAATCAATCAATGAATGTCAAAAATTGAAATATTGTTGAAAAGTTGAAAGAGTTGTTATTATTTGTTTCCATGGAAACATTGCTATGTTTTATACTATGTTCCATGGCTAACTTCGATCAACTAAATTGAAAAAGTATAAATTGTTCGCAGACAGTTTATTTTCGGAAAAAACGTAACGATGTGATATAACACAGAAATCGTAATAAAATGCTGCATGCATAAAATGCATTTCCTTAAAGTAATAATCAAGTATGGTTTCCATTAAAAAAAAATTAAAATTGTGTCATATGTCAAAAATGACAGTTCTTTTGTAGAAAAGTATTATGCCATTTTGTTTGGAAGTCAATTTCCCACAAGTTTTCTATTTAATGTTTTCCTGTCAAATTAATATCAACGGAACTAGGAGTAATTTAAACATTGACCATAAATAAGTTTTTCTCAAATATCTCTTGACACCTGTCAAATTTTAGAAATATAATAAATAAAATCATAAAATTGGTTTCTAGTAGAACATTCAAAACTTTTCTTTCTTTTAGAGGTTTCGAATTTTTGCGATTATTTCAGTTGTTTTGATCCTCCAGAGTAGTCAAAGTGCAATATTTTTAGTTGACCTCTCATCTCTTAAGCGAGCAAAAAATCTCAATTTTTAAGTTTGTAAACTATAAAAGTATCGAAAATGGGAAATCCTGATGTTTGATTCAAACGGTCATAAAAAAACTTACTTACACTTGCTGAGCCGATACTTTGATCGAATTGCTGTGCAATCGCTCTATCTTGTTGTGGTCCAGATCTCTGAAAGGAATCGTTCAAGTGAGAGCAGCAAAGGTAATGAAAACCGAAAAAAAAATGAATATTAGAATTGAAAATATCCTGCCTGTTTTTCCGGTTTTGTTGTATGGCAACTCTCCCATCGCCCTCTCAAATTATCGCAAGGAAAACAATTAAAGAATACTTACTATACTTACAGTAAAAACATTGTATTTTCCGGTGGAAGGAAGGATAGTTGGGGAACGTCGTGTAGGCCAGTGTTCACGATCCGGCTGAAAGTGATTGAAATTTTACTGCATTTCATGTTTGCCTAACCGGCTAAAGACCTACAGCGATCTGAAGTGCTTCGAGGTGACTCCCTTCAACAATCCGTAGATAAATTTGATTTGCGGCGCATTATAAATGTAACTGAAAACGAATGAAGCATGATTTATGTGGGGCGCGATCGACATCCAAGCATTTACATTGTCCGCAGATTGGGAATGTCTGCAAAAGTGCCATCGTCAATCACCCTGAGGTGCGGCAAGTCCGACAACGTTCTGCAAAAAGCAAAAATGAGCAAAAAACCGCATGTTGAAGTCCGATTTCTGCTTACACATCCTGCAGTCCCATCTTATACGGATTGAGGGCCGTATTACTTATAAGCGAAATGTTCTTGGATTCGGAAATGATCAGCTTGTTGAGGCTGCTGTTCAGACTGGAGGGAATCTGCCCCAGACCGTTTCCTCGGCAGTGCACCTCAAAATCGTCTTCGTGAGAGTATACGGTGCAATTGTAGCGATCTGGAGCGGCTTTCACCAGCCTGGAGCGCTCCATTCGGAGGTCAGTGATTGCGCTTTTAGGAGCCGCCAACGATAGGACGAAGAACAACAGACGCAGCATGACCTGGAGAATTGGAGAATGTATTCAAGAAAAAAAGTTGAGAAAAAAAGCGTTCTTTTTGAGGATTAATGGGTAGCAGATGGAGGATGGGGCGCCAGCTTGCAGAAAGTCATTGAAGAGTCTGCAGTTGCGTAAAAGCGTTCGAATTCAGATAAACATTCAAGAAGCGCGCAAAGTTCAGGATATGATTTGAATGAATTTTGAGCAAACCAAATACTGAACGCACGTGGACTTTTCGTGGACTGAAAAAGTATCGTCAAAAAGTTTGAGCTGTTTGAAAAGACGCAAGGGAACTGGAGAACCGTTGTAAAAAAGTTGCATCATTTTCCTGTTTGTTGACTAATTAAGGCATGAGATCTGGGGCTAGCGGATGAAGGAACAAGCCAGAGGAGATTGAAAAATTTAATGCAAAAAGAGCGAAGATAACTAGAAGATAATGAAATTAAGCTCCTATAGAAATTTGGAATAATTCTTGAAATCAGAACTTCTAATTAATTCAAACTCCGTTGGTTTCTATCATCGCTCGGAAGTTCAGCAACAAAGCAGTTTTTTGTTTGGTCAATATTTTTAGAAAAACACCATTGATTGGGTTATTAATTTGAGTTTTGGCGTTTTGCAGTTATCACTGCAGCTGAGCGAAATTCATAATATGGCTCTAAATTTAAAATTAAATTAGTGAAAGATACCGGACCGTTTTTCGTTAAGTTCGATCGTGAAATTTTCCTTTGGGGAACATTGCAATGCGAACAGGCGCTTTCTACAAAAATGTTGACAATAAACAAACTGAAATCGAACTGCTAAACAAGAGTAAGGCAGTGAATCATCGAAAGGGATAACAAGCAAATGATTAAATAATCACGTTTATTCTGAAGTTCGGTGTCTTTTACTCCCGAAAAGGTGAATGAATGTTCAGTTTGCTACCGACAGTGGAGGAAATCGGTCGATAACCCTTTGTCGTGTGAATTGCATTTTTATATATGAAATATAAAATATTTGTGGCCCTTATGGCAAGTGCGGTAGTTTGTGAAAGTGTGGCGAACTTTTTGAGGATGAACAGATAGAAAATGGAGGATGGGGCCCCAGCTTGCGGAAAGTTTGTAAGAATGATCTCTGAACTGAGTTTAGTTTTCCGACAAGCAACTGTGTGGAACAAAAAGTTTTTTGGATTCTTTAAATGTTCCTCTCTTTGCTTTGCTGATTTCAAATAAGGTTGGCTTTGGACAGATTTCGTGCTGTTATTAAATTTTGATTCTTTCGTTAAAGGTGGCACTACGCAGCTTTCGATAAGATTAGCATTATTTTGCCCCTGGTTGCCATGCACATGTAGAACTTATTTGGTCCTTACTTGGAACTTATTGGATATTTATTAACTGATTCATAGGGAGGACAAAAAAGTCAAGAGTTTCAGTTTTGCCTGTTTGTTGTTTTTATGTGATTTAGATGGAGAACTTTTAAAGGTTTGAAGGAATTTTGATATGACATTTAGAGTGCACTCTACTGTACTGTATTTTTCGTTTCTGAGAAATGTATTTTCGAAAAACGAGATTCAAAATGTGTTCCCGTAACAAACTCAAAGCTTTTCGAGACCCGGGGCTGGACTTTCAACCCAAAAACAGGTCACCACATTTTTTAGGGGCAATTTTACTAAATGAGTGACTGAAACGCAACTGCCCCGGTGAGTTACTGAGGAAATCGGTCGATAAACCTTTGTGTCCTTTGTGTGATTTGTGTGAATTGCGTTCCTAGATAGCAAATTTAAAATATTTGTGGCCCTTATGGCAAGTGCGTTTTGAGGATTAATGGGTGGATAATGGAGGATGGGGCGCCATCATGCAGAAAGCTGGTAAGAATGATCTCTAATTTATAAATCTTTTGGCTTGAACTGAGTTTAGACTTCCGACAAGCCACTCAAGTTTTATGAATTCTTTATATTTATCTCTCTTTGTGTTGTTGCTGATTTCCAATAGGTTTGGCTTTGGACAGATTTGCTGCTGTACTAAAGACATTTTCTTCTTTCTTTCCGGGTGGCACGATGCAGCTTTCTGTAAGTTTTTCTGGTAGAACTTTTAGTCTAATTTTTTAACATGCAAATTTACGTCGAAATTTCATTTAAAAATGAGCTTCTACAGAACGTCAATCTTTCAGTTTCTACTAGCTCCACAAAATTTGTGAATTTTTCTCTGGCATTAAAACAAATTTTGAGCGAAACTGTGCCGGTCCATTGGGTTGGCGCACCAAGCCATTTTGGCATCACTGCGCCAACTCCAAAGCGCAAAGTTGAAACAGCCAAATTTCGTGTTTACTTGTGTTTTACTTGGATCGGGGACTCAAAAAGTTTGAGCTGTTTGAAAAGTCTAAAAGGAATAGGGTGTTTTCACTTTTTTTTTAATGCTGATATATAGGAAGTAGTTATGGCAAAAATTACACTGATATAGTTTTTTTTGGCAAAAAAGTCTCCATAATACTTTTAAAGCGAATTTAAATTCAAATCAGATAATCCGCCAAAAACGCCGAATCTGTATCGTCGGTTGCCTATCCCGATTGTGACGTAGCAGGTCATATCAAGAAAGTGTCTCGTGTTTATTTTGTTGTTTTCGCAGCTTTGTTTTATTATTTAAGTTATTGTGATTATCATTATTTTATTGATTTTTATTAATATCTTGCATAATGGAAAATAGTGACATGTATGGATCACAAAGTAAGTGGTGTTTTGTGCCAGGATGCAAGAATACCTCAATAAGTGCTCCAAACAAACTATTTCTAACCGTTCCCCATGATTATGCACGTAAAGTTTTATGGTTCAAAGCAGCTGGACGTGATGCTCCTAAATCAAAATCAATGTTTTTTTGTTGCGAGGATCATTTTAATGAAAGTACGAACAAAAAGCTAATGATGAGGCAGACAGAATATGCCTTCGATCGTACTCTGGATTCTGGGCAAATTCTACTTTGTACAGTGCACAAAGAATATTCGCGTTTTAATTCCACATGTCCGATATCACCAGTTTAGGTTAAGTTGAATAAGTGAAACTCTATATATTATTTACCTAATTTAAACCAATACAGACAAATTAGTATATTAAGGAGAGAGTAACTAATAATGAATTTACGGATTTTTACTTACGCTGCTGCTTTGACACCCTTAAATTCGGCTAAAGTAAAGCGTTCGTCGTTTTTTAAAAATTCGGTAACCATAAAAATATATACACATGGTAAATTGTCTGTTGACGCTTTAAGGAATCCTTCTGAAGCCATTTTTTAGTTTAACACAAAGTACAGATTATTCAAAGCCATAAAATAATTAATGAAACACAACCACACAACTAAACACTACGCACCGAACGTAAGCAATCCGCCATTTATATGACCAGAGACGTCACAACCAATAGAATTGCGTTTTAGAGATTCATGAATAATTTAAATTTTAGCTGAATTTGTTTAATAAATATTTAACAATATAATAATAAACTTATTTAATCTTTCATATGTATATATATTACCATAGATTAATGTTTAGTTTGCACGAATTTTTGATACAATGAAAACACCCTAATAGAGAGAACAATTGTAAAAAAGTTTATTGAGATTTAAACAGCGGAAGATTCGGTTTCAACCTGATTAAATGAACGAGAGCGTTGATAGTCCTTGGAGTTGTTCTGTGTTTGGAAAATCAATTCGGGACAATTATCAGTACCAGTAAATAACCGCGATGTGTATGCTTTGCATGCATGTCACATGCGGCACATTATGAAGTGCAAATTAAATAAAAAGTTACCACAAAGTGGGATAAACAAATGGCGAGTAGGTAGGTACCTACTGATAATACTGCGTGTCGCATGTTGATCATCTGTTGGTGTTCAATCAGTAACAATAACAGGTAGTTGGTACATTTATCTGTTTTCGCGAAAAGAGAGTTCAACCAATCAAAGCCAAGGGATTTTATTCGACATTTAACGTGGCTGTTACTGCCGCCACATTGGCAATAACTCGCAAATCAAAGACACCGAATATTTGTTCCGGTTTTATGACCACTAACAATCGGATAGTTGGATCCGTTTGGACTAATGATGTCATATTTATCCAGCTTATTTATGAGATTAGCTTTCACGGTTTCACTTTTACGACTTAATTAACGCGAAATGAGCAGTGAAAAACTCGCGGTTTTTATGCCCGTTTTCTGGATCAATTTCGACTTTAACGACCGGAAAAACCCGCAACTGATGAGTGGTTTCGATGCGTTTAGCTCTCAACGTTTTTTTTGAATAGTGCGAAATTGAGTCAACCAAACAATATCCTAGATTCGCTCACCTTTCAATTTGGTTTATCGCCCCTTTGGCTGAACAGCACTCGTAAACTTGAATAGATTCTTGTAAAAGTGATACGGATAACGGCTTTAAATAGATCGGCGTGTTTATCGAGCGAGGCACTTGAAAAAATCGATAGATTACCTGTAAAAGCCAAAAAATAACATTATTCTTACTTGACAATGGTGAATTTGTTTGTGACGAAGTGCAAAAGTACTAGTTTGGCAAAACGCAGTCACAATGGGTTTCCCTAACTTATCCGGGGTGAAAAGGATCCATTGCGTCCACCAATAAAAACTCATTTAATTTAGAAAATGTCTATGAACCCTGCAATATTTTTTCTCCAGTCGGAATGTTGCACATTAAGAATCTCAATTAGAGCGATCCTCATCCGATCTATTTATGTATTATTGATTTAAATATTGATACTTGTATGACAAATTAACACTTGTATGATAATACTGGTTTTAAACGCAATTGCTTGACTAGTTCGCATACTTGAATTAATATGGCCAATGGAAAATCACTGCTGACTGATTATACAATACACATACCAGCATAAGAAGGTACAATCTGCAATTGTTTTTAATAAAAACTAGTGGTTTCGAGTTGTTTATAAAGAAACACTTGCGAATCACTATATGTAAACCTAAGTGGATCTTCAATCAGCCCCGAAATCGAAATAATTATTAGAGCGACAAAACAGAACGATCAATTATAATACAAAAAGCCGTGTCAATGTATCCACTAATTGATATGGATTGATGGCGCCCGGAAAAAAAACCGAACGGCGCTTTAGTGCAATCCGAGTCTTGGTCTGATGTAGGTGCGTCAGCAAATTAGGTTAATCATTTTTTATAGGGACGAAGTCATCCTGTGACCCGGAAATCACGCCATCAATAGGGTGTTTTCATTGTATCAAAAATTCCTACAAACTGAACATTAATCTATGGTAGTATACATATTTATGAAAGATTAAATAAGTTTATACTATCTATCTATTGCTATTTTGTTAAATATTTAATAAACAAATTCAGCTAAAATTCATATTCATGAATCTCTAAAACGCAATTCTATTGGTTGTGACGTCTCTGGTCATATAAATGGCGGATTGTTTACGTTCTGTGCATAGGTTTAGTTGTGTGGTTGTGTTTCATTAATTATTTTGTGGCTTTGAATAATTTATAGTTTGTTTTAAACTAAAAAATCGCTTCAGAAGGATTCCTTACAGCGTCAACAAACATTTACCATGTGTGCATACTTTTACGGTTAGCGAATTTTTAAAAAACGACCAACGCTTTAATTCAGCCGAATTTAAGGGTGTCAAAGCAGCAGCGTAAGTAAAAATCAGTAAATTCATTATTAGTTACTCTCTCCTTAATATACTAATCTGTCTGTATTGGTTTAAATTAGGTAAATAATATATAGAATTTCATTTAACCTAACCTATACACATGGCTGCTTTAAAAGTAAAATAAACTCTTAAATTTGTATTTTGGGCATTGCGAGAACAATATGGTGATATCGGACATGTGGAATTAAAACGTGAGGATTCTTTGTGCACTGTACAAAGTAGAATTTGCCCAGAACGCAGAGTACGATCGAAAGCATATTCTGTCTGCCTCATCATTAACTTTTTGTTCGTACTTTCATTAAAATGATCCTCGCAACAAAAAAACATTGATTTTGATTTAGGACCATCACGTCTAACTGCTTTGAACCATAAAACTTTACGTGCATAATGATGGGGAACGGTTAGAAAGAGTTTGTTTGGAGCACTTATTGAGGTATTCTTGCATCCTGGTACAAAACACCACTTATTTTGTGATCCATACATGTCACTATTTTCCATTATGCAGGATAATAATAATAATCACAATAACTTAAATAATAAAACAAAGCTGCGAAAACAACAAAATAAACACGAGACCCTCTGTTGATATGACCTGCTACGTCATAATCGGGATAGGCAACCGACGATACGGATTCGGCGTTTTTGGTGGAAAATATCTGATTTGAATTTAAATTCGCTTTAAAATTATTATGGAGACTTTTTTTGCAAAAAAATTATATTAGTGTAATGTTTGCCATAACTACTTTCTATATATTAGCATTAAAAAAAGTGAAAACACCCCTTTAGATCTGAGCATTAGACTCCAAGAAAATTATCAAAAGACTTTGGAGGCCATTCCTTGAACCTAGTGGGTTTTTAGGCCGTCGTACAATAGAAAATTTTAAAACAGTGAAGCGTTCAAGCAAACTACCTCTGAAGATGCAAGCCACTCGTGCTTGCGAAACGTCGGGAAGAAATTCTTTGTACGACGGCCTAAAAACCCACTAGTCCCAGGAACATTGTTGAGATCGATTAGAGTTCCTACAGAAGAGATTGACTTGCTCTAAACGCGAGCGAAAAAAATTTCGCGTCTTAAATCCAATTTTTTCTCCCCGAGTTGTACATCTGAATAAGGCAAACCTGGCAAGGATTGGGGCTTTTGATAACATCGTGCCATAAATCAAATCCCCAACGCAAATAATTGTTCCCGGCTTGTCAGATTTGTTTATAACACCGTTTTATAGAACGCGATATTACGTGCGCATCGCTGGCTCAATAAATTCACAATTAAGTCGAGCTGTCTCTTATAACAAAAGGACCATAAAACAAAATCGTCCAACACTTAAGTGGTAGAAATTCAATATTAACGAGCTGCAGGTTCATTACAAGAAGGCGTCCAAACTCTCGTAAATTCACACTTATTGCGCTCGTTAATAGATCAGTTAAATTGAAATCGTAGTTTCGTCTACACAAAAGTGTTAATTTAATTAACTCGGCCCGAAACCGGAATAGCCAAACGTATCGACAGCATTTTTCCCGACTCGAGGATTCGAAGCAAATGTGGATTTTGGAAAACTACTGGCAAACGTCTTCTGCACATTCAATTCAATTTTTCGTTTTTGTAATACTAAAAACTCTGCAGTATGCAAACTTAAAAACTCACCATAAACAACGCACTTTCTGAATTCCCCACTAAACGCGAACAACCACCCCGAAAAACGTGCTGTTGGAGGCCGAGCAACACGCAGAGATTGACCTGAATAAGTAGGGTGGTGTTTCGACGCGATCTGCGTGAATTTGAAGTTCCAAAGCGCGCCAGTTCTTTCGCTTTCCGAACCAAATTTCACACATGCGCTAGTGGGATAACGATTCAACACTACCGTTCGTTCTCGAAGGAGAGAGACTTCGGATTGGCTGCGCTTGGGACAAAACCAAAACGACCATAATGTATGCATATTAAGTTTTATTGTACAATGTACTCAATAAATTGGAAAAAATAATGAACAGTTGCATAATGTAGTAGACAAAAATGTGTACTTATTACTTAAATCACAAATATTCCTCTCAAAGTGTCCATCCGAAGTGCTTTTACAATTTGTTAATAATATTGATACAGTGGTCGATTCCGAATCGAGATTTGCGAACCTGTCGGGTCAGGAGGAGCAATACAAATAAAAAGTTGCATTGATTGTCGTTATCATTAACTCTATTGGGCAATTATAAAAAATGGTAAAAAGTCAAACAGTGCAGGTAAACAATAAACTAGTCAACGAACAGTTGGCAAATCTCGCTCGCAACCAGAGTCTTCTTAAATTGTTGCTAAACTCACACACGTATGCACAGCACAGACCTTTTGGGTTCTTCATTCGTGATAAAACGCACAAGTAACAACGTGTTGAAACCTCAGCGACAACAATTCACTTGCAAATTGACCTGTTTCGATATGTTGTAGCCACCCCAAGACTTGAAATATGCATTTTTTTAAACAACAATTGAAAAAGACGACGTTCCGTTCTGCTGCGAAACTCAATCAGTGTAAAATGTCATTCTCACTCTATATGTACAAAACATTATTTTTTACATGGAGCTTTCAGTTTTACGTTGTGCTGTTGGTGGCACAATGAGCGCCTTCACATTTACCATTTAAATTGATTTACATCGAGAAAAGTTAATGTCAATCGAGAACTACAACGGGTGGTTCATCCAATCGCGTTTTGAAATATCGCCAAGGCTTTCTTGCAGCTCGGCGCAATTCCACCGATGAGATCTGACGTCGAATCTTTCTAAAACCAACGAAAAACTCCAGTTAGAGACTCGGTGGCGACTTAGGCCCATTTTCATCAAGCGATCTTAAACCAGTTTAACGTCTCAAACTCAGTTTCGCGCGAAACGGATTTCACCAGAACCTTAAACTTAGTTTGTGCTTAAACGCGTTTAAAGAAATGAATTGAAAATGATTTTGGGCGTTTATAGCTTTAAACGCCGTTTAAAGACTTGATCTAACCTCACTGTGTAAAGAATTGTTGTCGGTCGACCGAAAAATAATAAAATAGAAATGCCACGTAGGCCAGTTTATAACTTAATTTTCGAAGAAGTCTACGAATATTTTAATGTTACTTATGTACTTTGTCTGTCCTGTCTGTAATTGTGTAAGCCAACTTTTCGGTGCTTTGCGGTTTTATGTCACTGAATGCATGCAAATTTCTGCTAGAGATTTTAAGGGTTTCAGCACAACTACATCACATTAAATTGTACATGGGGTGAGCTCCGCGATAGAGCTGGTGTTCTGGGTTTTGTGAGATTCCA